AAATCTCACAATTTATCAGCAGCATGAACTTTTCTCCATCATTCACAATGAAACGCTGCTTTGTCTCAGCTGACCATTAGATTTGGTTTCCCATCTTGATGCTGCTCGTCTCAGAGACCAGTACCAGGGAGCATTTCTCCAATGAACTTTTACTGATTGAAGTTTTTCTTTGTTGAGAAAATCACAGTTTTTCTGATGAAGGCGCTCTTGTGCTTTTTTTTTTTTCAGTGATGGTGTGAACACTTTCGATTTGGCTGATTGTACTTTGGATCCAACAAATTCAGCTCCTACAAAGACTAGATTAATGCTGAGCCCCTCTCTCCTTGCAATAACCGATCGATCTCTGACACCTTCACTTAGCTCTAACACCTGATGCTTCCCTCTTTGCAATGCTCTGGTTATTGCACTGCAGACTCTGCAGTATATTTCTTATTTTCGTGTCAATGAACTTCCTGAGAATTTCCAGGTTGACATGAAATTTTGATGCGGTGTCAGACCCCGCTGTACGTCTGTTAAATTCTGATCTTTTTAAGTGAATAAATCATGTTCTCTGTGCCCAAACTGTTAATAAACCTACTTTTTAACAGTAATTTTTGTGAAGTCTAACAGGTCACTTGTGTCTGTGTTTCCAGTGGTGCTGATGGTCATCACCCTGATCTCCATCACCTACGGGGCCCTCGTGTGCAGCGTTCTGGCCATCCAGATCAAATTCGATGACTACAAATTACAGCTGCGCCCCTGCGCTTACCTGTGCATGACTGTCTGGAGAGGCTTGGAGATTGCTACCCGGGTCACGGCGCTGGTCCTCTTCAGCACGGCACTCACTCATTGGACGATCCTTGTCGGCATGGTTAACCTTCTTTTCTTCTTCTTCCTCCCCTGGGTTGAGTTCTGGGCCAGGAAAGGCTCTCTAACTGAGAATGTGGAGAACAACTTTTCTAAGCTGGACACTGTGGTGGTGCTGTGCATGTTCACGTTGCTGTACGCCTGCATAAACATCTTCTGCTGGTCGGCGGTGCAGCTCGACCTCACCCATCAAGAGCTCATCGAGAAAAGGCAGCAATGGGGCCGCCTGGCCATGTACTACTGTGGGCGCTTTGTTGAGAACTTCCTCCTCATCACGCTCTGGTACTTCTTCAAGTCGGACTTTTATGAGTATGTGTGCGCCCCGCTGTTGGTGGTCCAGCTGCTGGTCTGCTACAGCCTGGCTGTGCTCTTCATGCTGCTCTTCTACCAGTTTTTCCACCCTTTCAGACGCCTCTTCAAGTACAACGTCCACGACTGCCTGCACTGCGTCTGCTGCCATAAAAGAAGGCGTGGAGAGCAGGGGCGGCGAGGGAAGCCGGCACACTCGTACTCTACGTCAGCCACCATGGTGGTTGGGGCGGAGGAGCCGGCGGAGCTGCTGGACACTCAGGGTTCGCAACCTCCTGACCTCACCAGCCAGCTTGGAGAGCGGGAGACGGCTATTGTTGACGATATGATGGAGGCGGCCTAAGTAATCTAATATAAAGGCGCATCGCTGAACAAAGTCTGGAGTAGTTAATTTGTGTGTTTTTTCAGAGAAAGTGAGGTGGCATGTCAGAGAACAAACGTTTGCCTTTTTCTCTTCAGTTCAAACTTCTCGTTCTGTGAGGTATTTAGGGGGACTCCTGGTGTTCTCATTAAAGATGATCCCATACACCGAGGGCCCCGCAAAGGTCGGTACAGGAAATAATGTAGCGTCCTGAGATGTGCAGCGACACACAAAGGCCGCTGTTGAGAGGGCAGCCTGAGCCAGGTGTGAGGGGAAACGTGCCGAGTGGAGTGTCCCAAACATCGACCTGGAGACCACACTGTTTACTTAATCTCAGGGTTTTCATAGCACGAAGGCCCTTTTGCACAGGTTTGCATCTGAAGTAGGAGACTTATTAACAGGGGGGGAAAAAGTGAAAAACACACTAACAGGAGGATGACAAGTAAAGGTCAGAAGATTTATCTTCCTCATACCAACTGCTGTGATGAATGCCTCGTCTTGTTCGTTGTCCACTGTGGCTGGCTTTTGTTTAAAAAGAAAACGGGAGGGGTTTGTGTTGTGAAACAGAAAATTACAAACGTCTAAAAGCCTGTGAGAATATTTTGGTGTCTTGTTTAACACTCAGGAAACTGAGAACTAGCCTTATTCTTGATGTTGCATTAAGGAGACCGACACTGATGAGCTTCTATTTTATTGAAGTGCTTTAAAAGTCATTTTTTAATGTTTTGTCCTGTTAAAACGGTGCCTTCACTGCTACTACTGTGTTACTTGAACAATAAATAAAATGATATCTGAATATTCGGGCTTGCTTTTGTTTATTTTTCTTTTATTACATTTACATATGCAGTAGTACACCTGTTCTTGCCATAGAACGACCTGCATAGCCGATCGGCAAAGTGAGATATATGGTATTGTGCAACATATACTTCCTCATTCCTGCCATCCATGACAGTTGATCCAGTTGACCCAGGAGGTAGGAATGCGATCAGCAAGACTCAGGAAAACTTCCTGAACAGCGCAATTTCAGCTGCTTTTGTTTCTTTGTCTCATCACCATCACACACCTGTAAATGAAGGAGGAGTCCAGACAAGCGGGGATGAAATAAAAGTGCCCGCAGCTTAAAGGATGCAGTGAAGCTGCTCGAGTCGAGATAAAGAGCTCAACATGGCGAACTGCATTGTCAACTACGGCTTTTCAGCCTTCATACTGGTAAGTTTTTCATATTCACACGTTTGCGATTTCATTTTTCAACTCAGGGGGTTTGTAAACGCAGATGTGGGACAATTTACGCACAGCTTTTACGCGCAAAGTCACGTATTTTAAATACATTTTTTCAATGCTTGCAACCATTGTGTGATGGAAATATGGTTCTGGTTGTGTTTGCAGTTTGTGTGGATGGCCATCAACATCTTCCTTTTTGTGTATTTTTATTTCTTCTACGACTTGGGCCCGCAGTTCTTCTACACGCGTCATCTTTTAGGGGTGAGTAAAGATCTTTGTTACGATGCTCGGTTCATTACTTTTACCAAAAACAGTTACTGCTTCTCTTCTTTGAGTGAATTTAAGTTCAGACGAACGGGGATGTAAATAGCTGAGAATAGCAATGGTGTTGAGCTTTTAACTTAAATGCTCTGTGTCGATGTTAAACCGCATCAACCCTGACAAGTACGAAGTTTATGTCACACATAGACTATTTGTATATATATGTTTTCCCCTTTATGTATAGTGCTTCGTTTGGAGAGTGTTGTCTGTCCCATTCTTGTAAAGATGATGGTTTTTGAACGTCTCTTCAACCTTTCATCTCCGAGACATTAACCGAAACTGTCAGAGAAACATATCCTATAGCAATAAAAGTACGTTTGTTTGTAACTTCGATCTCAACTGATTTTTAAATGACTCAGAAGCATGTACCTTGATCTGCCCATAAGTTGTGAGATGTGGAGGCAAAAGATTCTTCTTTTTTGACCGCATAAATGTCTTTATTACATACCGAATGTATTTTAATTCATGTAATCTGCAACTTGACGTGTTCAAGCCCCGTGCAATCACACAGAAGTACTTCTTAGAATGTTGCCATATTAAAAATTCAACATCGTTGGACCCCAAATGGTTATTTAAATAAGCAATGTGTAAAAATTAAGGGGGAAATTTCTCTAACTGACAGCAGACTTTTTTTTTAGCAACAGTGAGAGGCAGGGTCCAGCAATAAGGCAAATGTGGTGGAGGGTAACGCCTTTAAATGGAAATAGGAACTTAAGTATATAAGAAAATGCATTTTCTGTGATTTTCGTGAAATGATGCTCATATGAAGATGCTTTTTATTTTAGTCTGCTTTGCCTTGGGCCAGAGCTCCTGCAGCTGTCCTCAACTTTAACTGCATGCTCATCCTCCTCCCAGTGTGCAGGAACCTGCTGTCTCTGCTCCGAGGCTCTTTTGTGGTAAGTTCCTCATGTTTTTATTAGTGATGGACCGATCCGATATTACGTATCGGTATCGGTCCGATACTGACCTAAATTACTGGATCGGATATGTAAAAATGTAATCCGATCCATTGAATATAAAAGCATCTCACAAAACTTGCAACATAGCGTAACCCAGCTCATAACATGCGTTACGTGATAGAGCGGCTGTGGCTGCTGGCGGTGAGCATTTGGAGCCTCTACGTGCTTCCAAACCGTCATTTCATCTCCGAGAAAGTTATCCCAGAGAGAAGTAGAGCAAGTGTGTAAGTTCATCTCTGAATGTTAGTGAAGCATTCCCACGTTAAGCTCAAGACCCGATATATGGAGCGACTGTGGTGCACTCCTAAGTGCATGTTCTCTGCATGCTTGTGCAGGTTTCTCATGCTGTCAAACTATGTAAGGTTCAATTTGCTTTGTGCTTTGTGCTCAGGTTCAGTAGCTTTCTGTTTTGCAAGAATGTCACTCCCATGTTTTGCCATTCACTCCCTTTCTTTCTTTGTCTTTTCAGCGTTGCAGCAGAACAATGAGGAAACAATTGGACAAGAATTTGACTTTCCACAAGCTGGTGGCATACACGATCGCTCTGATGACAGGTATGTAAATGTGAATTTAATTTATATGGCAAACGCAATGTAAGGTGAAATTGTGCGTCTGTTCCTCCTTATGTACCTCATGTCTCTTTTAAGTAGATATTGGAATAAAATCTGGCGATATTCTTCTGTTTAAAGATGACATTTCAATGTTGTTTCTGTCTATTGTTTTTGTTTTGTTTCTTAGGTGCTATAGTTGTGCTATAGTCACAGCGACATGAATTATATATATATATATGAATTATATTATTATAATTAATTAAAAAAAATACACATGACATATAATGTAATTGCAAGGAGGTATTTCTGTAGTCTATAGATTACTAGATAGTGGAAAAGGGGTGGGACTAAATAAGCTTATGCTTCTTCCTGCTCCTTTTTGAACATGAAAGTTATTTGTAGTTGTGGTTGCTCGTTTTCTTTTTGTTTTGCTTTGTTTATTTGTCTCTTTAAATTCTATGTTGTTGCACTTTTTTAACATGTTCAAAATAAAGATTCAATCAATCAATCAATCAATTATGCTCCAACAATAAAAGACAAAGAGACAAACTTCTCACTTTCTTTTCAAAAACGTGTTTTTGAAAAGAAAGTGACACCCACGCACATCATTTTTGAAATGAAGTGCGTGGGTGTTAACTATTCGCCACACTCTGCAAATGTGCCTACATGAGTGATAAGCACATGTTTACTCAAGTCTCAGTAAAACGTATCTCAGTCTATTGTGAAGTTTCAGTAAAACTGACAGAAAGATGAATTTCTTCCCTTCCTTCCCTCAATCACGCAGCCACACACACAACACACACACGGGTCAACAAGTGTTAAGTAAAGATCTGGAATTAATTTTGGCAAGACAAGTTACAGGGAAACGACTAAGAACTTTTCTCAAACGAGCGACTGCACATATTTGAAACTGTTTCCTTTGATCAACTTGTTAAAAACACTTTTCACAACTTTTTTTTCCTACATAAAGCAGCCGTAACGTGTCTCCTCTGTGTCTTGTCACAGCTGTTCATACGATCGCTCACTTGTTCAACCTGGAGCGGTTCAACAACAGTAGACAAGGTCTTGGCGACGAGCTCAGCGCCGCTCTGTCCGAGCTGGCTGACACAGAAAACACCACCTACCTGAATCCAGTCCGTATAACCAACCTCGTAAGTCATCTACTGATTGCTCCGAAACTGACATGAAACGAAACGCATCTCTCAACAAATACAGAGCTTTGCATAAAACAAATAACAGGACTCATCATTTATCAAACTGTAAAATGTGGGGGTGCTGCTTTCGCTCACAGGTGGAGCAGACGACCGCATGTCTCATGACTTAATGTAGTTAACCCAGGTTCATTTTTGACCTGAGACCCTTTTACTGTGTCTGATGAAGACAAAATAATAATACAATTTAAATAAAACAACTAAAACAACAACAACAATAATTAAATATGGGGATCCTCCGTTGGATGTGAACTTGTGACCAAGTTGTCTGAAAGCTCACGCGTGTGCTTGTGTCTCAGGATCCTCAGCAGATTCCCACCTACTTTGCCTTCACCACCATCGCCGGCCTCACCGGTGTCGTCATCACTCTCGCGCTCATCCTCATCGTCACCTCCTCCATGGAGGTCATCAGACGCAGCTACTTTGAAGTGTTCTGGTACACGCACCACCTCTTCATCGTCTTCTTCGCCGGTCTCGTCTTCCACGGAGCCGGGTACGAGACGGGCTGCAGCCTTTGTTGACTTTGGCTTGCGGGTTGTTATTTTTGCATGCAGGTTTCATTTGTGCAATTTGCACCTGCAGGCGCATTGTGAGGAGCCAGCAGAGGACAAATCCGCCACACAACACAACTTTTTGTAAAGATCGCCCTGATGACTGGGGACGGATTCCTGAGTGTCCCATCCCTCAGTTTGCAGGAGGGTTTCCACAGGTTTGTCCTTTTGTACAGAGAGTAAGTTAAAAACGTCATCAGTCAAACCTCGTTAACCTCTTCTTGGTTTGTTTTTTTTTTCAGACCTGGATGTATGTGATTGGCCCGATGGTTATTTATCTCTGTGAGCGCCTGGTTCGTTTCATTCGTTACATGCAGAGAGTCCGATACAAGAAGGTACGTTAGACTCACATTTCACCTGCTGCTTCTTCCACTCTTTTTTGCACGGGACCCTAATCCATGTGCTTTGTCTTCAGATCGTCATGCGACCCTCTAAAGTGCTGGAGCTGCAGCTGATAAAGAATGGTTTCAAAATGGACGTGGGTCAGTACGTCTTCGTCAACTGCCCAGCCATCTCACAGCTGGAGTGGCACCCGTTCACCATGACGTCTGCGCCCGAGGAGGATTTCTTCAGCGTCCACATCCGCTCGGCAGGCGACTGGACCGACAAACTCATTGAAATCATGAAGAAGGTACCAGAGGGAGCAGAGGGACCCAAGTGAGTCAAACAATCTGACCTTATCCAATCTGTTACTGTAGATGTTTCATGAGGAGGTAACTATAGCTACCTGTGATTTGTTTTGTTTAAGCTTCTAATTTTTCTGGGTAAAATCAAAACTATTGTTTTTGTCTAAAACTGTAACAACACACAAGTACGTGACTCTCAAGAAAGAGTCCAAATGTCAAAGCATCTCTGAGCAAGATAACAAACTCAGATTGCATCAGTGTAAGCGCATAACTGTGTACAAAGTATCCAGACTGATGCCATTATTAAACATTTTTAGGAGAAATCAAATTTCATGTTTCCAGATACTTTAATGGAGGCTGTTAAACCAACTAACCTACATATATGGAACGATTATTCACTGTAATGAGATCCATGGTGACTAAGTTTTCTCACAAGATCAACATCGCAGCTTTGTTTCAAGGGTTTTTATTGTACCGGATTCCAGTTTGCACTTTGTTACAGTGTCGTCTTTTAGAGCCAAGGATCAAACGGTATTTTTGCAATCTTTGCGGTGAGGTTACAGTTTCACTCTTGCATGAATGAGTATTGTGCATGCATAAAAACAAACAGCCACTGCAGTTTAGCTGAGGTTAAAAAGGGTGTGGATTGGTATGTGGCATTTATCCAGGTTACCTACTTATACAAATTAAAAAAAACCGATTTCCCAGCAGTCGTCTCCAAAGTTCAGGAATGCAGTTTGAAACTCAGGTGAGACGGACAGAGTCGCCCACAAAAACGCACAATAAGTGCATGACGTAGCAATATCAACTTTACAATTAAATTTGGTCTGAAATAAAGGGCTTTAATTAAA